TGATTGGTCCAAAGCACTTCTTGGTCCAAAGCACTTCTATCTCGACTAAGAACAATCAAATATTTAAAAAACTATTAATTTGTGACGAAAATGAAGTTGATATTCGTGATCAGTGCATCAATATTTAGATCTAATCTAGATCTAGATCTATATGTTTATATCTAGATCTAGAATCTAGTAGAAAATGGACAACTGGTAGTTAAGTGTGAGACGGGAGGGAAAGTAAAAAAATACCGACTTGAATAGATTAGAAATTGAAACTGAGACTGAAAGTGAAAGCAAAGGCAAAGAAAAGGAGCTAAAATCGAGAGTCTAGATCAAAGTCTAGATAATCTAGATCTAGATATCTAGATATCTAGATCTAGAGAATCTAGGTCTGAGGCTAATAAGTCAAGTCTAAATCTAGATCTAGATATCTAGTTTCTTACCTTGTCATTAGAAATCTAGATAGTAGAGGCTGCTAGCTTTTACTACTTTACTCAAACTCAAATCTGATCTTTTTCAGAACAAATTGGCTGATACAGTTTCTTTAGATCTGAATCTAAATCCTTAGATCTAGATCTAAATCTAGATCTAGTTTAAATATTATACCTTTTATTGAAAGAGAAACAACTGTCTACAATGGCCCTAAAATCCTTTAAATCTAATACAGCGTGGTGGTACAACGATGAAGAAGGAGCACGAGACAAATTGCTTCCCTTTGTTTACCATCTACAACATGGTCATGACTTGGGATAGATCAAAGATTGCAAGGGCATAAAACTTGAGGAGTTGATGCAACAATGAAGTGGGTAAAATGACATAAAATACTACACCTGTCACAATTTCAAAGAAACATCAACTTTATGATTTTACATTTCTTCAGGACAATCAAATCAATCAGACTTTTAGTCTTCGGGACAACAGGAATATTATGTGGATCAGTATGACAATCGTTGGTTAGCAAAACTGACCGTGTGACCTGGTGACCACGTTGAATGGAAAAGTTCCATCCAAAGTGTAATATACAACACTCAAACTAATCCGTTTACTACTTCATTATATCAACTTTGCACAGCATACACCAAGATTCCATGAACACGCCACAAAGATTTACATGTAACTTTTAAATCGGTAAATATGGTAAAGTCACTTACCACATGTGAATAGCCATAGCAAAGCACAACTCCTCTACGCATGCGCACGAGAACTGGAAGTTGATCCAACCATTTATTTTTCCTTACGAAACTGAAGAGTGTATTCGCCTTTCTGTTCGTTCCGGAAATAGTGGGTATGCCATTCTAGGATACAAGATTTAGGCCTACCCTCCCGTCCCCACGCCGGGCCGAGGCTAGAGTCTTTTACTTTTTTTTTCACATATATCTACATAATAATGCCTTGAAATATCAACAAAGCTAGAAACGTCCACTAAACACCCATCTCTTCATAATATGCGAGCAAGGAAAAGCCAACCGCTTCGACTTTTCGTAATTTGCCCCTTTTTTCATAGCTTGACATACATGCATACATCACCGATCGGACAAAGAAGTTTGACTTTCATTTTATTATAGGCTATATAAAAAATTAAACAAATAACTCAGTCGTCACACACATGAGCACAAAACAAGTTGTCTGGACTAAAGAATTTGTGTTATGCTGACTCAAAAAAGGCATAGCAAACGTACCGGCATCTATTTAAATTTGGAGGTGCGGGGATGGGGGGGTACTTTTATGTTGGTTTTTTTAATGTTTTTTAAGAGGTGATGATTAATTTATTTTCGGCATTTACGATATAACTATTTAGCTTACATGATATGAAATTTTTCTCTACTTTAATATAAACCTTAAAAAATTTTCAAAGGTCTATGAATATAGAAAATACGCAGGGCCTATATTATTATTATGTACCGGTATATAAAGAAGTTATATACTCGATAATACATGTTAGAATGAATCATTGCGGTATAATAATTTGTTCAATGATTTATAAAATAATTATAACAAGGCCTACCTACCTGGAAAAAAACACTCACATCCACACACACTTATTTCTTTTAATGGTTGCGTACTTCCGCAATTGGGTTATGCTTGCAACACCGAAAGAATGACTTTTCGACGGTCTCTCTTCTCTGAATATAAGGTTGGTCAAACGTTGGACACAGTATTTATATAAGGTAATGAGAAGAAAGAAAAGCGTAGGCCTACTGTATTTAAGCCCGTGTTGGCGGATTAATAAAGATCGGGGGGTGGCTGGCTGGAAGTAATGGAGGAGGATGCGCATGTATACTGGGTAGTCATGGGAAGCGGTGTTAAAATTAGGAGACAAAAAAAGCCAGGACTGTTATCAGGGATTAAGAGGGAAAAACTTCCCGATGCGTAACACTAAACACGTTACCTAGAATTGATTAATCGCCGTATTGTATCTCTGTATAAATCGTATGTGTGAGGTCTGAAATGTGTTAGTACAGAATTAAACGTTTGCGTACTTTATGTCAGGCAATTTCTCTCTCTCTCTCTCTCTCTCTCTCTCTCTCTCTCTCTCTCTCTCTCTCT